CTCTTATACACACTCACACACCCCCACCTGTTTTTTGAACAGTTGGCACTCCTCAGGGGTCAGAGTGTCAGCCTTTGCAATAAGAGGGATGACGTTGACTTTGTCATGGAGTCTCTTCATAAACTCAATATCCAGCGGCTTCAGGCTGAAGAGAGAGGCAGACAATAAAGACTAAAACCAAACCTCAACAGGAGAGGATTCATTTCACATACAGCTGAGAAACACAGCACCAATGAATTCACATTTTCTTTTATTAGCTGTGTGCTTGGATTTCTCTGAGAGGTCAAATAACTGGCTGAAGACTGAACTTAAAACAAAACAGATAACTGACATAAAACAAGACCTTTTATTGTCGTTGCAGATCCCATAAACGTCTAATTAACAAATAAATGTAGGTAAATATAAAACCAAGAACAAATGCTTTAGCAATAAATAAATGATATAGGAAATAAAGAAAGCCTGTTTGTATCCTGAAGTTTTTTCGTGCAGAGATCCATGGCAGGTCTGTTAGGGTAAATTGAGTTTGAAAGTAGGAATGTGTGTGTGTTTCCTACCATATGAGGGCTATTTTTAGACTACACACCTACATGTAGGGGACCTACCGGTACATATGGGGACCTAGTCCCCATTTGGGGAAATGCCATTGATAGGATGGGGCTTAGTTTGAGGACCAAGGTGTGAATTGAGTTTAGGCTAGATTTAGGGTCAGGTAGTTTTAGGGTATAGGAATGCGCGATATAAACGATATACAGTAGAAACGATATAAATTTGTCCTATGATAGAGATCTGTAGTCTACCGGCCAACGGTGCAATTCTTTTTGATGACTGAACCGGCTGGAGTCAAAACAGAGGAAGCGGGAAGCAGCCTGGCTGAGAGCGCAAATGAAGAAGGGGAAAAAACATAACTTATCCGGACCTGGTTCGGGTGTGTGAAAATGAACGCCGAACGACCACACTGCCTGCTACGGGAGGAGCGCGCGCCGCGGCATGTGTGAAGGGCACGACACACGGGAGGCGACGTCGCTCGCTCTCCATTCATTTCCACGCAGCGAGGCGACTGTCAGTGCAGGTGAAGTCAGTGCAGGTGAAGTCAGTGCTCAGGTGAAGTCAGTGCAGGTGAAGTCAGTGCTCAGGTGGGACGCACAAAAATCAGACTGGACCTCGTTTCTCCTGTGGTCATAGCGCGACGACGCACGGCCGAATGCACGCGCACTCCAAAGCGCGACTATAATGATTGTCACCCC